AATAATATGGGTACCCTTGATGTTAGCGATACCTTTAGCAGTAATTCCAATAATATGTGTACCTTGCTGTTAGTGATATCTTTAGCTGTAATTCCAATAATATGTGTACCCTCGCTGTTAGTGATACTTTTAGTTGTAATTCCAATAATATGGGTACCCTCGCTGTTAGAGATACCTTTAGCTGTAATTTCAATAATATGGGTACCCTCGCTGTTAGAGATACCTTTAGCTGTAATTCCAATAATATGGGTACCCTTGCTGTTAGTGATACCTTTAGCTGTAATTCCAGTAATATGGGTACCCTTGCTGTTAGTGATACCTTTAGCTGTAATTCCAGTAATATGGGTACCCTTGCTGTTAGTGATATCTTTAGCTGTAATTCCAATAATATGGGTACCCTTGCTGTTAGTGATACCTTTAGCTGTAATTCCAATAATATGGGTACCCTTGCTGTTAGTGATATCTTTAGCTGTAATTCCAATAATATGGGTACCTTTGCTGTTAGTGATATCTTTAGCTGTAATTTCAATAATATGGGTACCCTCGCTGTTAGTGATATCTTTAGCTGTAATTCCAATAATATGGGTACCCTTGCTGTTAGTGATATCTTTAGCTGTAATTCCAATAATATGGGTACCCTTGCTGTTAGTGATACCTTTAGCTGTAATTCCAATAATATGGGTACCCTTGCTGTTAGTTCAGATTTTATGTTAATAGTAGATCTGATAACACTTGTTCCTCAGATTTTATATTAATACTAGATTTGTTGTATCTAACTTCAAGATAAGTTGGTAGGGAAGATTATATTAAGTTACAAGTACAGTGTTACAACATTTGTTGTATCTAACTTCAAAATAAGTTGGTAGGGAAGATTATATTAAGTTATAAGTACAGTGTTACAACATTTGTTGTGTCTTCAAGATAAGTTGTTAGGGAAGATTATATTAAGTTACAAGTACAGTGTTACAACATTTGTTGTATCTTCAAGATAAGTTGTTAGGGAAGATTATATTAAGTTACAAGTACAGTGTTACAACATTTGTTGTATCTAACTTCAAGATAAGTTGGTAGGGAAGATTATATTAAGTTATAAGTACAGTGTTACAACATTTGTTGTATCTTCAAGATAAGTTGGTAGGGAAGAGTATATTAAGTTATAAGTACAGTGTCACAACATTTGTTGTATCTTCAAGATAAGTTGGTAGGGAAGATTATATTAAGTTACAAATACAGATTTAAAATGTTTTTATTGTTTTAGCTTTTAGAGAAGCTGGTAGGGAGGATTATATTAAGTTTTGGTTATACTGTTGTCAAGTCCTTCAAGGAACATGAAATCTATGACAGTGTATAAAACAAACTACTGTTGTTTGTGTGTTAAATAAGTAGGAATATGCTCGATTCTTTCATTAATGTTATTTTCATTAATAGTTTTGGCTAGAATACTTAATATATCAATTTTCGTTATTTTTATCATAAATAGTATTATCTGACAAACACGTTCAACATACAGGAAAGATGTAGGGGCCCTCTGGGGGAGACATTTAATTATTGACCCCCCCTTTATGTCACTACATGGGGGGGTGGGGGCATGGAATGTGAAAGGTTTGATAACAGTCGCCCTATGAGTTATATGTGGACATAATGCACATGGAAGACACTGGGGTCCTTGAACAGATTTAACCTCCAGCCAATCTGTCACCTCCCAGGATCCCTTAGGTGCATGCCACGTTTGGTGACAATCGATCTAATAGTTTGTCAGTTATAAGTATACGCAGACAGAGCTTTTTGTTAAATAATGGTGTATAGGTTTTTCATTGTTAGCTTAGTATATGGATTTAGATCTAGCACAAATCTAAGCATTGTAAGATATTATTGGAATTACTGCTAAAGATATCACTAACAGCAAGGGTACCCATATTATTGGAATTACAGCTAAAGGTATCACTAACAGCAAGGGTACCCATATTATTGGAATTACAGCTAAAGGTATCGAAACACGTTTTATCAGATCTAGTATTAATATAAAATCTGAGGAACAAGAGTTTTCAGATCTAGCATTAATATAAAATCTGAGGAACACGTGTTATCAGATCTAGTATTAATATAAAATATTAACATGTGTAAGGATGGGGCTTTTTTTCAAGGCTTGTGACAGTGGTGCAAGGTAATAGCTCACTGTTATGCAGAATGGTGAGTATCTGTCTGAAATACACCTTAAGGTAAGGAAAATGTTAACTCTTGGCAGGTGTAATGGAAATTATTTATCTTACTGAAAAGTATTGTGTTAATATGTCTTACAGAAAGGCATATTTACAAGTACAGATTTTAAGAACTATATTAGTTGAGATAAGACTACCATTTGAACCTTCATTTAATAAAGCCTAGTGTAAAATAAATACTTGGGCTGATTTTGTGAAATTTATGGACTTATCACAACTTTAATTTAGAGATTAACTTTCAAGACAAAGTGAAAGATTATGCATAATTTCCCACTCTTCTTATTGGTTATCTTGCCTTTTCAGTCCGGTCTAGTCTACTGTGAGCAAGAGTGGCAGAGAGAATGGCAGACTCTGCTAAAGATGGCATCTCCAGAACCTCGACCCAATAACAAAGAAATGACCAATAGTGTCAGCTGGCAGAATAAAAGGTGTGGTAAAACTTATGAAGTATGATTTCGAGATTATATATATACAACACACTTGCTGCAAAATTTTAAAATTGTGAAATATATCAGTTAGTTTGAAAAGTTAGTAGTTCAAAATTTAAAGTAGGATTTTATATTAATACTAGATCTGAAAACACTTGTTCCTCAGATTTTATATTAATACTAGATCTGATAACATGTGTTCTTCAGATGTACTGTACCAGCCTGTAATGTAATTATCATTGAACTATAGCCCTCCACCAAAAGGAAGGTGATCCATGTTGTAGTAATCTATGAGCACTATCATGTAATGAAAAAAGTTACACATCCCTCAATCAACTAGTCACCATGAATGTCACCAAGAAACCCCCACCACCCAGAAAGTTACACATCCCTCAATCATCTAGTCACCACGACTGACACCAAGGAACCCCACCACCCAGAAAGTTGCACATTTCTCAATCAACTGTTCACCACGACTGACACCAAGGAACCCCTCCACCCAGAAAGTTACACATTCTACAATCAACTAGTCACCACGACTGTCACCAAGGAACTCCCACCACCAAGAAAGTTGCACATCCCTCAATCAACTTGTCACCACGAATGTCACCAAGGAACTCCCACCACCTAGGAAGTTACACATCCCTCAATCAACTGTTCACCACGAATGTCACCAAGGAACTCCCACCACCTAGAAAGTTACACATCCCTCAATCAACTAGTCACCACGACTGTCACCAAGGAACTCCCACCACCCAGAAAGTTACACATTCTCAATCAACTAGTCACCACGAACTGTCACCAAGGAACTCCCACCACCCAGAAAGTTACACATTCGTCAATCAACTAGTCACCACGAATGTCACCAAGGAACTCCCACCACCCAGAATGTTACACATTCTTCAATCAACTAGTCACCACGACTGTCACCAAGGGACCCCCACCACCCAGAAAGTTACACATTCTTCAATCAACTAGTCACCACAACTGTCACCAAGGGACCCCCACCACCCAGAAAGTTGCACATTCCTCAATCAACTGTTAATCAGGACTGTCACCAAGAAAGTTGTATATCCCTCGATCAACTGTTTACCATGACTGTCA